CTTCCAGTGAATCCATGATCTTTGTATAGTTCTTGTTGTCTGGCAAATCCTCCTAGTATGTAGCCTCTTTTATCTTTTAAGAATCATTTTGCTGCTCAGTTTTGATTTGTTTTTTATAGTGAACCTGTCTATTCCTCTATTGCACATGATTGCATATGATTGCCTTTCAGATATCCATGGAATTCAGTCATCTCTCTCCTTAGGATTTCCTTTTGCAAACTAAACATGCCCAGCAATTTTCATCATTCTTCATAGCATTTGATTTTTTGACACATTTTCATCCTATGATTCATAGATGAACACCTTATCCATGGTCCTTTTAAAGGGCAGTACTTAGAATGTCTCCCAATATCACAGGATTCAATGGAGCCATAGCCATTCAATGCAAGATTCTTTTAATTAAGACTAGAGCTTATTTTTTTTAAATTTATGATTAAGAAACATATAAGAAAAATTAAATAAATAAAATTAAATACATATTGATTGTTATCTAGGATCTAACCCATTATTGGAAGGCTATTCAAATAATTTTAAGAAAGCTCATTTCATTCAGAATTTGGCTTACCAGTGTTGTAATGGTGCTAGGGACAAAATGCTGGGTATTGTTGATATTATTACCATCATCACAGTTGCTGGGACATCATTCACTCCACCAAAGCTTTCCTGACTTCCTAATCTTAGAGTGAAAACCCTCACTCTAGCTTTGGAAAAAGGATTTTTTTTCCCAGTAAGGCTAGCCTTATTGTAATGCAAAGCAATTTGAGATTGCTTGGTCTTGAATGGGCAATTAAGACCTATTCACTTGAAGAAAACTGGCATGCTGGATGCCTCTCTGAATGATGAGTAATGAAGCTGAATGGATAGACTGAATAAAAAGAATAGGACTAACACCTTAGGAAAGATAAAATGCAATTATCTATATCTAACTTTGAACTGCAGATCTTGTAGCTGAAATATCTGACCTATTTTTTGATGATGACCTTCTTCTCCTTCTCCTTCTCCTTCTCCTTCTCCTTCTCCTTCTTTATCTTCCTCCTTCCTCTTCCTTCCCACTCCATCTCCTCCTCATCCCATTTTATCTCTGTTATTTCTGCAAGCTCAGCCCATAAAGGTAGTTGTGTGTCTTGCAGGTACCATCTTAGAAAACTGCAGATGGTGAGTTCTACTCTCACCTTACAAAAAGCCATCTGGGTGACCTTGAGCCAGTCATTGTCTCTCAACCCTAGGAAGAAAAAGAAGACAGTGGCAAACCATTTCTGAAGTATTGCCAAGAAACCTGTAGGGATTTGTCCATACAGTTGCCAGGAGTTGTTAATTTAATGGTAGACATGCGCGTGTGCACACACACACACACACAGATCAACACAGCAAAAATGTACTTGAAATCTCACATACTTCTTTGCGTCATTTTGCTTATCCTAGATATTAACCAACTTCGGGTATCAGGAAGATGCATTTTTATCAAGTACAAGCGCTTGGACCCTATGATCTGGCATAGAAAGGATTGTAAGGTATTACAGACACCAAATATTTGTGATAAAAATGCACAGAGAATTATAGATTGCTATTTGTGTGAGTTTATTATGAAAGAAAAGAAGAAAGGGGAAAAGGGGAAAAAATGGGTGGAGAAGGTACCCATGCCATCAACTAACTAACAGCAGGTGATGTACAAAAATGTAAAAAAATGAACCAAAAAGTTAATTCTAAATGAAAATTGGGGTGAAATCCAGCAGGTTCTGACAGGTTCTGGAGACAGGTTCTGCTACTGGAGAACCAGTAGCAGAAATTTTGAGCAGTTGGGAGAACCAGCAAATATCACCTCTGGCTGGCCCCAGAGTGGGGTAGGAATGGATATTTTGCAATATCCTTCCCCCAGGAGTAGGGAGGGAATGGGGATATTGCAGTATCTTTTCCCTGGAGTGGGGTGAGAATGGAGATTTTGCAGTATCCTTCCCCTGGAGTGGAGTGGGAATGGAGATTTTGCAGTATCCTTCCCCTGCCACACCCAGCAAGCCACGCCCACCAAGCCACGGCCACAGAACCCGTAGTAAAGAAAATTGGATTTCACCACTGATGAAAATGTTTAGGCTTGTTCTTTCTCCCTGATGGAGAGTTGTGTAATTAGACTCTCTCCTCAATATACTTTACAAAGACAAGGAGGGGAGAAACAGATAAGAAAAAGAATAAGATGGATCCCTACAACTGTATGCATTTTGGGGAGATTTTCTTTCAGTCTGGGGAAAGAAACTCATGGTCTGCAACTTCAAAATTTATTATTGCAATTCAATGTAATTGAATTTATTATTACAATTGGACAAAGGCAGCATATCTTGCACTGTTGGAAGAAACATCCTTCTGGGTTCTGCTCCAAGTGGGGAAAACAGACACTGGAAACATGGAGACTGCTTGGAAAGATGGTTTAGTGGTGGACAGGATCACATGGCTTGAGTTCCTGAACAGAAAAGGGGCAGATACAGTAAATCCTCGGGTTTTTATGCTCTCTCTGGCTCTGCATTTCTTGGGGCCACGAAAGAGTATCCTGATTGGTTGTCAGACTCCCAGGGGGTGGGGGTCTTGCTGGCTGATGCAATCTTCCCAGGTGCCATGTGGTGAGCCTCGTCTAGATGGGTCCCATTGTGTTAGTTTCTGTTGCTATTGTGTTGCAAATGTCCTTTGACAAAGGATTGGGTTTCTGCCTCTGTCCCATTAACAAAGGGTGGGGGGCAGGAAGGTGGGAGCTGCTTCTCCCAGGGAACATGCTTCTCCCAGGGAGATATAATATTCTGCCTTTTTCATATTTCCTAAAATATTTCACTCTTCCAGGAGAGGGGTGGGTGCTAACTTCCTACAGCACAAACTCCTTTTATTCCAAATAAGTTTATGAAATCCATTTTGAGTGGTGTATATAAAAAAATAATAAAGGTGAGATTAAAAAAAAAAGTTTAAAAAAATCATCCTCAAGTGCGCCTTTTAATTTTGGACTTTTTCCATATCTTTGACTCTGTATCCTTTCCTGAAATGCCTTGTTTGTTACTGATCATATTATTCTATTCTTTGCCAGGAGTGATGTAATGGCCTAGGGTAGGGCTCCCCAACCCCCGGTTCATGGACCGGCACCTGGCCGCAGCATGTCAGCAGCTGGGCCACACAAACAAGTGAAGCCTCATCCACAGGATGCAGCACGCAAAGCCATGCCCTCTCCAGTTATGGAACCAGTCCCTGGGGCCCAAAAGGTTGGGGCAACAGGCCTAGGCTGAAGACACTCACCTCCCACTCAGAAGGTTGAGAGTTCAATCCCAGACAGTGACAGCAGAGGTGATATTCAGCAGGTTCTGACCAGTTCTGGAGAACCAGTAGCGAAAATTTTGAGTAGTTCAGAGAACTGATATCAGTTCAGAGAACTGATAAATACCACCTCTGACTGGCCCTGCCCCATCTATTCTCTGCCTCCCGAGTCCCAGCTGATTGGCTGGGTGGGTGTTCTGTTTAGGTGGGGGCTTGGTTGTGCTCGGGTTAGCCCCCACCTAAACAGAACATACACCCATCCAATAAGAGCACAGCCAACCCCCCATCCAATCAGAGCACAGCCAAACCCCCACCCAATCAGAACACACCTCCACCCAATCAGAACACAGCCAAGCTCCCACCCAATCAGTTCACATCCCCACTGGCAATTAAAAGGAAGAAACAGCTGTGATCACACATTGCTCCTAGAAGCACGAAGCCGAAAACACCAGCCTGAAGATGACGAATGAGACTTCGTCGAAACGTTGCCAAGACACTTCCAATTTTGCGCAGGAGAAAACCCGAATAACCAAACACCTACATACAAACACCCGTGAAAACTTCAGAAAACATATATATGTATGTATGTATGTGTATTTCTCTTTAGCCAGGTTCTTCCTATGTAAACCAAGATTTTTATGCAGCCCTAGTTCAGTGAAATCACAATCCACTAGTTTCTAGGCTTTTTTCAGCCAGGCAGCAAGCACCCTGCTGCCCATTTGGAGACTAAGAAAACAAATACATGTATGTATGTATGTCTATGTCTTTCTTTCTTTCTTTCTTTCTTTCTTTCTTTCTTTCTTTCTTTCTTTCTTTCTTTCTTTCTTTCTTTCTTTGCCATAAATCCTTTACCATGCCAGATACAAGGGAAGTAATATGTCAGTCTTGTTTTCCATTGGAATGAATGGAGATGGCTTGGGATTCACTCTCAATGGCTGGTGCCCCAGATCCACACTGGTGCCGACCAGTGTCTTGTGTAAATAGTTCAGTATTAATCTTTAAAATTCAAGCAGGCTTTTACTTTCCCACCTGGAAAATCAATTACTATTTGCCTAAGTGGTTGCTTTAAAAATTGCAAATAAATTAGTATATCATGAAATACTTATTTTAGAATTCAGGGGAATATTGGTAGATTATGCCATGCGCTTTTTCTAATCGCCTCCTATGTTTTATTCACCACTGAGTACAATTGCCTCAGTGCTTTTTCATTAGACTAGTCTATATTAATCATGTATTGCTAATGTCAAGCACAGGGGAGCAAAGACATTTTCTTAAGCACTTAAAAATATATATAAATAACGAAAGTAGTAAGGATGTAGCTTGACGTTTCCTTGGATCAGAGTCTGCAGAATTAGATCACATATCTCTTAAGGTTTGTCAGATTATTAGAGGGCAAACCTGTAGAATTAAATGTTGCTGAAGACTGTTCTTATTCATTGCCCTGTTTGATGGAAGTATTTTAAGGCTATGCAAATCCCTTGAAAGTAAGCTTTGGAATCCCAAAGGAAGAACCTTTTTTTTTTTTTTTTTGAATTGTTAAACCCATGGTGTCTTTTTCCAGGCAGCTCCCATGATATATGCAAAGATAGCCGGAAGCAGCTGTACAAGTCTGAAAAAAATAGATCTTTCTGCTTTAATGTTTCAAAATGAAATGTTTTCAACGTACTTTTACAGAATATTTTCCACCCAAAGAAAGGGAGCAGCTGCAAATCAAAATATATGAAATATTTCAAATTTTAGACTAGACTGATCATGCTTTGTGATGTGCTGTGGTGGCTTCTTCGCTTTAGTTGGAAACACATCAGCGGTGAAACCCCCCCAGTTCTATCTGGCTCGCCGAACCAGTAGCACCGGCAGTGGGAGGCTCCACCCACCCAAGACATCATCACATCCCAGTTTTTTACCATCTGCGAATGCGCAGAAGAGGCACACTCTCGTTCCTGAACCGGTAGTGAAGGTAAGTGGATTTCACCACTGAAACACATACTTTATGTACTGAACTTAAAAAGAAATTCATAGATTGAGTTCACAAAACATAATAGTGGACGATCAGTCTAGAAATCAGGAGACTAGGAATTCTAGTCCTGCTTTAAGTAATTTCTCCCTTATATTTCAGTGAATTAGGAGACATCTGCATGAGCCACTTCCAAATGTTGCCTTTTTACCCTAGACTTTTTTTAAAAAAATGTTTCAACCTCTTTGCCTAAGGTAACAGTTCTTGCATATTTCCATCAAGATAATCTCCCTTATCTACCGCCGTGATGGTGAACCTATGGCATGGGTGCCACAGGTGGCATGCAGAGCTATCTCTGTGGGCACGCGAGCCATCGTCCTAGGTCAGCTCCACCGCACACAGGCCTTCCGCCAGCCAGCTGACTGGTCTGTGGAGAAGCGTGTGCATGTGCGGGGGGAACTGGGTGGGGGGGTCATGCTCACATGTGCAGAGGGCCAGAGGGGTCATGCACACATGCACAGGGGGGCTGGGGGGATGCGGCATGCGACTGATACAATTCATCCAGTACTTTCCATAGCTAACAAATGGGGCTGAAGCCTCCTGGGACCAAAAACAGGGCAGGGACGCGGGGGGGCGGAGGCATGTGTGGAGGGGCAGGGAAACACAGGGGGCAGGGCATGTGGGAGGCATTGAATTATGAGTGTGGGCAACGCACTCACTATGACACGCGCATGCTTTTGGCACCCGAGGAAAAAAAGGTTAGCCATCACTGCTCTACAGAATGTCACTGGGCTATTGATCTATTTCAGACCTCATTGAGTTATGTTATTTTTTCTATACGCAGTTCCAGCAATGTTTCTTTATATTCTGCTTTCCTCCAAGGCAATTTACACTGCACTCCCATCTTTCCTGTCCCCACAATAATAGCAACTTAGTGAGAAAGGTTCTGTTTAGAACGAGTGACTGATACATATTCATCCAGTACTTTCCATAGCTAACAATGGGCTAGAAACTGAATCTCTCCAGTCCTAGCCCAACACTTCAAACATCACACCAACTTTTAGGTTGTTCGAAAGACTACATTTGTTGATGTAACTCTGCTCAGCTGTTAAAATCCTTGGGGGGGAAATCCTTCTTTCAGTTTATTTCCACCAGAGCACATTCTTCAGAGATAGTCTGTAGAGATTCTCATTCATCCGGGTCACGGTTGTCCCAAAAGTGCTTTTTCAGGAGACAACTGGACTGACTTGTTTTTTCTTTTGAAGACATTTCGCTTCTCATCCAAGAAGCTTCTTCAGTTCTGGCAGAATAGTGGATAATCCTTCCCTTCCCCACTATCCTGTCAGAGCTGAAGAAGCTTCTTGGATGAGAAGCAAAACGTCTTCAAAAGAAAAAACAAGAAAGTCCAGTTGCCTCCTGAAAAAGCACCTTTGGGACATTTTTCAGAGATATGAGTAAGATTCACCTTTGCCGCAATTCCCAGGTTTTCCAACAACCTAGCAAAGGAAGTCAAGCTATCCCTTTCCACCATCAGATAAACAATTCTCAGCATCAATTCCAAATAGATATTTTGTTAGGAATTTTAAAAGACGTGGCCATGTTTTTAACTGAAGTTTTAAAGTTTATGGTTTATTTTATTTTGATTGTTCATTTTCTATTTGGTGAAATGACAGGATATAAATACAATGAAATAAAATGGATAGGTGAATAAAACGTAAGGGATTTATCCTGACTGACTATATCTTTACTCCACACTTATTTTCTATTGGACTATAAGCTGCAAAGCAGTCCAAAAATAGCTGTACTGTACAAATAGCAGAAGTCAGGTGTACATTGGATGCAAATATAACCTTCAAGAGTGGTCTTCATTTCTTGTTTGTTTGGAAAAAATAACACTGGAAAGTTTTAGCAAGCAATGCTTCCAATCCCGAAGAAATGGTGATGCTCTTTTATTGCTGTTGAAAATGCACAATTAAAAAAGAAAGAAGAAAGGGAATGTTCAGACTGTTTAACAGTCTTTTACACTCATAAACATTATGAAGGATTTATTTGTGTTCTGTGTCCAAGGCAATTGGAGCACAATCTTACAGCATGGTTTCATAAGTCAGAGCCTTTAAGAACTTTCATCAGTCAACTTCCCACCATTTTTTATTTTCTTCAAATGTTGACACTACTCACAGAATGGCAAATAGCTTTCAGTCCATGAAAATCTTGTCAACAAATGCATCTATCAAACCCTGGGTTTGAGTCTGAGCAGTGACTTCCGATGGCAGCATCTTATTGGTTGCAAGGTTGCTCTCAAACATTTTGATACAGAAGTTTCCACAAATCAATGACAATTCTTGTGAGCCTTTCAGAATGCAATTGTCATTCCCTTCTATCTGGGAGCTCCTCCATAACCTTGACATTGTGAATTCCGCCTACCTTTGTCCCGTTTCTTTATTCCTCATAATCATGTTGTTGTTTTTTAAAAAAAGTAATAATTACCAAACTTCTTCATGTATCCATATTCAGAAACAGAATTTGGCCAGAAGCATACACAGAAATCCAAATAATATCTAGTATTATGGTTGTTCATACAGTAATCCAGATGTTTAGACTGAATTTTGTCTATGGAGTCTTTCCCAAAGACCTGGAATAGGCAGATGTTGTTGCTTAATAATATTAAAGGTGTCATGGCAGGATATAAACTGTTCCAAATAAAACTGCCTTTTCCAACCGACTAGTAGTGATTTTGTTTGTGCTAATGGTGTTCAATGGTGCTATTTCAAACTGCACCCAAGGCACCTATTACTATCGCTACCATGTTCGCTTTCTTTTGCCACATTCATTCTACTTCTATTTGACTTGGTTTCTTGGTTTCTCCACTAGGAATAGGGGATAGCCTTTCCTTGCAATTAAAACTCAAGCCACTTCTGTTAATGTTTCAGAAGCTACTCTTCTGTTCTGCTGTCTCCAGATACCGCTACGTCCCCTATCCAGACTTTTTTTGTTCTTCTTATCAACAATTGTTAAGTCTTTTTTTCAACCGCAGTTATATCTGGTATGTTATGAAACTTTGTTAACCTGTATTCAAAAACCTCAGAATATGTTCACTTTTTTCAACAGTACGTTCCCACCAATCTTTAATTTTTACAGATGTTCCAAAGAATTATTTTGGCAATTGCGTTATGTCATTGTTTAGTATCGGTTTCTGTGATCTTTAACTGTGAATGTTATTATGATTCATTCCTTGAACAAAGTCCTGTATTCCCAGGGAGGCCTTTCTTGATTTTTTTTTTCTTCTTTGCTTTTTTCCTTCTTTAAGCACTTGAAGTGGAAGTCAGTTTCTAGAGAAAAGCAACTGTAGTTTTGCCAGTAAAAGACAATGTTCTACTTACAAAGTTTTAGATCTAAGGAGCAAATTAGAAATCACATAGGATCTAAACCCACCTTTTTAGTGGGTTTAGCTAAAGTATATACTTTATATACTTTGTTTTTCCTCTAGCCAGGTTTTTCCTATGTAACCAAGGTTTTTCTGCAGAAAAAAACGTTTTCTAGCTAGGAAAAACCTAGGAAAAACCTGGCTAGAGGAAAAACACACATAAATCCTATGAAGAAGTAAGAAAATTTATATACTTTATATATATATTATACAGTATATACTTAGACTTATATACCGTGTCACAGTGCTTTCCAGCCCTCTCTAAGCAGTTTACAGAGACAGCATATTGCCCCCAACAATCTGGATCCTCATTTTACCAACCTCGGAAAGATGGAAGGATGAATAAACCGTGAGCTGGTGAGAATCAAACTGCTGGCCATCATTGACAGAGTTAGTTGCTTTTTCAGTGCCATTGTAACTTTGAACAGTCACTAAATGAACTGTTTTAAATCAAGGACTACCTGTATTGTTTCAGGAACAATAGTTTTGTTTGGATTAAACTAACAATTTACAAACCCGACCCAAAGCTTTCTAAGGGAAGTCTTTCCCTGAATATAGATGCCTGCTTCTACCAAGTATACTATTTCTCTCAAGGAGAAAGACAATTCTCTTCCTTCTATTTGTTCAAAATGCAAGCCACCTCCTCACTTCTCCTTCCCAATACTTAAAAACTGAAGTGCTGCCATTGCAGCTTGCCAAATGCAAAGGATGCTAAGGAATTTTCCCAAAGTCAGAGAGAAATGTATATTTCTCCATATTATGATGTTTGGAAACTGTAGCTGAGGGAAATGGGTTGTCTAGAAACATGAAATAATATTTTAAAAATGTAAGCAATGGTCAGTCATCTCTGTTCTAGTTCTGATCATCATTAAGCTTTAGGAGAAGAAAACTTGAACAGGGCAGCCTTATATTTGAAATAATGATCTAAATACTTTCCAAATACCCAAGAATAAAACTTAATTAACTCTAAGTACCTTTTTAAAGCATACAGTTATGATGTAGGTTTATTTCCAGGTGTAGAGTTTAGGAATAGATTTAAACATAAAATTTGCTTGATCCTTCGTCATACATTTAGGCTTGGGGTTTAGATGTAGTTCTAGAACATTTTTACGGTTGTGATTAAAGTACAAGTACAGCACAGTAAAGTACACATTTATTTATTTGAATGGCCACCCATTTTAAACAGAATTCTGGGTGGCTCACAACAACAATAAAACCCAGTAACAATAAAATCAGGAACCATAAAACCGTAAAAATGTAAAAATGAAAGCCTGATGCTTCTGTCATCCTCTTGGGGTGCCTGCCAACCAATTCCAGGTGTCATCATTTGATCCCAGTGCCTGGGTAAAATGCCAGATATTGATATCTTACTGAAGTGTTAAAAAGGGTCCTACTAGATCACTAGAGATATAACTAGAGCCAGTTATAGCAGTAGTGGGTTCCACTTACCTTCCCTATCAGTTCAGAACTATGAGCGCACGCTTGCGCAGAACCTTCTGTGCATGCACAGAGTGTCCTTGATGATATCTGGGAGGGTGGGCGGAGCCTCCCGCTGCCACCACTACTGGTTTACCCAAACCGGGGCAAACCGGTAGAAACCCACCACTGAGTTATAGTATATTTGGTGTTAAGGCACTGGGCTAGAAACCATGATATTGATGAGTTCTAGTGTGCCTTAGACACAAAGTCATTTGGGTGACCTTGGAGCAGTTACTATGTCTCATCCTAGGAAAAAGACAATGGCAAACCTCTTCCAAAATCTGGCAAAAAAAACCAAAAACAAAAACAAAAACCCCAGGGCTTATTCCACACAGCTTCCAAGGGTCAACAATGAATCAAAAGCATAATATCTATCACCTACCCTGTTTTCCCCAAAATAAGGCATCTCCTGATAATAACCCCAATCGGGCTTTTGAGCACATGGCAATAAGGCCAAGTGCTTATTCAGGGTTCAAAAAAATATAAGATAGGGTCTTATTTTCGGGAAAACACGGTATCTATCTATCTATCTATCTATCTATCTATCTATCTATCTATCTATCTATCAATATCTTGAAGTACATTTATAGATATATCACAGAGACAGAGAGAATTTAGAAGAATATTCAGGGAAAGTCAAATAATTTAACCAGTTACGTTGGTAATTTACTGGTGACTATGACTAGTTGCAAGAGAATGGTAAAAGTGCAAAGGCTGCTCTTTTAAAGAGTTTTCTAGAGAAAACCACTATTTGTGAAGATCTTGGAAAAGTTGAAGTGGGCGAAGCAGAATTTAAGAAATCAGAAGAAGATGCTAGGATAGAGACTGAGCAACCATCAACAAAAAGAACTGAGCTAAAAGCAAAACAGCTGGAAACTGCACTGCCAACAGATTAGGTTAAGGAATTACTCAATCTTGAGTCAAATGAGAAAGCGGAAGTAAAATAATATAGTCAAGTACTAAATGAATTCATTTATCTTGTTTGAATCTTAGTTGCTATTATGGTTACCTCCTATACTGTATTAAAATATACTACCTCTACAAATGTTATTAATGAGCTGTGTAATTGGGCCAACATCTCTAATAGAATGATCCCTTTAATGATCAAGCAAAATGGTCCAAAAGGATTCTTCATCAGTCAGGATGTTGCAAAAAACTGGAGAAAGCAACACAATCAAGATTGTAAGATAGTTACCAAGTTTGCCATTGAAAATCACCTTCAAGGCAGTGGCTGTAGAATACATGCTTCAGACAGTGATCGGTGTCAGGTTAATTATGTTATGGGCCAATATGGCCTTCATTATTCTTTTATGTCATTGATATTGTTCTTTGTGTTCCACCTTTAGTAACAACTAAATCTGACATCCTGATTTCCACCACCCATGTAATTGCTTTTTCATTCTCTCCATACAGTTAGTTGACTGGGACTTATATGGAAGTTCAAAGAAGATGACAGAATGACTAAGAATAATGGATGATTTAGTCAAGGCAGTTTGGAAAACAAAAGGCAGTCACTTGATGGCAGTAATGAGAAGCACAGAAAGGCTAAGTCAGCTCCTTCGCTTTTCACTCCTCCCTCTCACTGTGCAGACTACAACTTGTGTGTCATGACAGCTTTCTTAATAACCAGCCTTTCCAATAGATGAATCTGGGACTCTTTTGTTCATCTATCAAGCGGTCAGATTCTCTGTATTTGCTTGTCTTGGTGGAATTGTACTTAATAAAGCTGTGATTTCTTTCAGGAACCAGTTCTAGTTTTATTTCCATCCATTCACATTTTCTCGCTGCATGATTTCCACTGAGAAAGCATGCTTTAATTTTGTCTCTGCAGCAAGGTTCATGCCGATGATTTTCCTTGCTGTTCAGTTTCTGACATTTGCAAATCATAAAACTCTGAAGCATGGATAAAATATAAGAATATTGGACTAAATCTTTTTTTATGTAAGAAAAATACTGAAATAGTGAATGTGTCCTGAGCTTTAACTATCTTTAGCAAAACAAGTCACGCTGAGTTTATGAATTGTGCTGTGGAAGTTCAACATTTTTCAATTTTATATAAATGACAATTTGCGTTCTATTATATTCTAGTAGCAAACACAGAGTGTACTTCAAAAAATATCTCTCTCTCTACACACACACACACACACACACAAACACTTTTACTTTATTGATTAGCTCCTGGGCCATATCAAAATGCAGAGTTCCAGACACAAATTATTATTAAAATCTGATAAAACAATTTAAAATGTAATTGGAATAGAATACGATTTAAAAAGAAATTGGAATAAAATACAATTTAAGGACCCAGATTGTTGGGGGCAATATGCTAATGCTAATGCAATATGCTAATATGCAATATGCTATATGCTATATGTTAACTTTGTAAACCGCTTAGAGAGGGCTGTAAAGCACTATGAAGTGGTATAGAAGTCTAATTAAAAAAAATACAATTTAAAATGAAATTGGAATAAAATAAAGTTTAACATACATACACACATGTGTTTACATAGATAGATAGATAGATAGATAGATAGATAGATAGATAGATATAATATATATATATAATAAAAGCTCCTACCAGTGTTCCCAATAATTGTAAAAGATACATAGAAATTGCAAGAAATTTATTTGCAATAATTGCATTCATTTATTTGCAAACTTATGTTCCTAGTCTCATTATTTAGTCACAGTTTTCAGTAACAAATATTGCATTGCATTAAAGCACAAGGAATTCAAGTTATCAATCATCGTAATTCATACTAATCATGATGAATGCTCATATTAGATGTGATGTAACATCTACAGAGATGCAAAGAGAGATGCAAAAAGGAAAAATGTCTCATCTGTGACGAAATGGCAGAAACACCTAGAAATGTGCTTTTGAAGTATATCTCTATATTTAGCAAGGTTCATTAAATGGAAGGCAGTGCTTTTATGAGTAGATCTTAAACCATATATGGTTCTAAAGGTTTAAATACTTCTGAGCTGTGATTTTAAAGAAAAATAAGAGCAGTAGTGTGGCTTTCTGTTTTCAAGGTCTGTGCAAATAAGAAAAAAAATCATCTTCTGCACAGGATATCTAAATCATCAAGTGCAAGTTTCTGCTGTATATCTAAGTATTTTACGTCTACATTTGTGCACTATGCAGTTTGTCATATAAGACAGGAAAAATAAATTAAAATTCAATCCAGAAAAGAAAGACAGATCATCGATAGCAAATCACGCTTAGCCAGTGTGATTCAAGTTCTGGTTCAAAGCCTAACAGTGCTTCTTCATCTGGCACTATTCAATTGTCAACTGTGAATTCCAACTGGCCTCTGCTTTCAGAAAAGATGTTATTAAGAACTGAGTTCAAAGTACTCAACTGCAGTTTTTGATGCATGGCAAAATTCACAGAAACCTAAGTGACTAAGATAAATTTTATTTATGATAGCTGAGGACACCACAATTTATCCTGTAAGAGATTCTTCAAAATGCAGAAATAGTTTAATCATGACAATTGACATAATTTTGCAACAGTGGCAAATATCTGTAGCTCGGGTGTAGGATGAGGAGGAAGGTTCATTCTCCGAGCCTGTGGGTTGGTTTCCAAACGTTTTGTTACCTGACAAATATGTTAATTATCATTCTCTGCTATAGTTTTTAGCTACTTGAAAGAAAAGTGGGAAAATGGAGTGAAGTCATATTAAGGTACTTTTGGTTCACTGAACATATTGAAATTTTACTTTCTAGACTTAAAGAAAAGTCAGCATCTTTCTGCTCAAATTAAGTCAGGGGTGGGCTGCTACGGTTTTGCCCGGATTTGGGAGACCCCGTAACTAACATTATGGCCGGTTTGGAGAACCTCCAAATCCCACCCCTAGCTGGCCCCGCCCCACCCTGCCCCACCCCTCTCACCTGCCCCTCCCCTCCCAGAAGTCTCCATGTGGCCCATTTTAGATGCAAAGTAAGTGCAGGGCCCATGCGGAGCTTCAGGGAGGCAGAAAAACAGGCCACCCGGAAGTTCCGGAAGGCCTCCAGAGGGCCTCCAGAGCCCAGGGGAGACAGTTTTCGCCCTTCCAGAGGCTCAAAGAAAGGCTCCGGAGCCTGGGGAAGGCGAAAACGGCCCCCCTGCCATAGTCACTGGAGGCCGACTAGTCACGCCCACCATGGCCATGCCCACCCAGCAACCGGGCAGAGAACCCATTGCTGAAATTTTTGAAGTCCCTCCACATGACACCTTCCACGCTCCACACGCTTTTGGTACTCAACGGCAAAAAGGTTAGCCATCACTGTTCTAGACTATTATCAAGCACTCAAAAGCTTTCAGAGGCTGAAAGTCTATGGAGATATTCTAAACAAGGGGTGTCAAACTTGCGGTCTGCGGGCCAGATGCTTCATACGCTGGCTATGCCCATGCCCGGTTTAGTGAACAGGGAAAAAGTCATAATACGTTACATGACAATGTGACGACGCAAGTTGACATCCCTGTTCTAGACTATTATCAAGCACCCAAAAGCTTTCAGAGACTGCACCTGGCCTTAAGGTCTAAGATAAGGACCTCTATTTTAAAACCTATTTCCACTGATATTACTTGGATTACATCTACCCATATGTGGGGAAATCATTTTTTGGAGAACATCCTATCCTTGAGTCCCCAACAGTGTGTCTTGTGTTATAGGCTGCCAGTAAAATAAGATGTGTGAAGCTGTAAGAAAATGATCAAATATTTAACAGCCCTCTGTGAGCTACAAACAGATTGGAATGCATGAACCATAAGCAACTATGCTACTGTTTCTTAAGTACTAAGCAAAGCTTAAAGGAAATGGCATATTCAGGTCATATATTTTCCAGTTGTTATGCTAATCAATCCTCTGCTGAACAATCTGTAGCATTCCTACAACAAATTAACCAAGCTAAGGATAACCAAGACACCCATAAATATCCATTAGAATATACAGTTCTTTAAATATAGATGAGGTTATTGGTGTTTATGACTACTAAACTCTTGTATTGTTTTTGTGTTAAATTAATTATGAATCTTCTGGATTATACTTAACCAGGATACTTAATTTTTGTAGCAGTTTTTTTTGTTAAGTTAGTAACCTCATTTGAGCAGTTGTTTTGCCTTCAGGATCAATTACCTTACACCACACAAAGGAGAGAAAAAAGACTTTAGTTGTAGAGCAAAAATTATTGTCAGCAATTTAAGTAAAATGTTAACGGTTATTACTTTATGACACAGGAATGTAGCCTGAGTCCTTAGATTCATATGTGAATTCTCAAAAGTCTTAGATGAAACTCTTAGACCTCTATTAAAAGTTATACACAAACTGTAATTTCAGACACAACAGAAAATGGAAATGTAGATGGAATAATTACATTATTTCCTGCATGGAATCTGACTTTATAGGGTGATTCACTCTATGCCTGATATGCCTTGGGCATTCTACTACACTTAGGAATTTGTGTGCTTGTGCAGCCCATGTTCAAATCATCAGTTGTCCAGCAAATCAACCAAAGATTTCAACTTTACTCTTTAGAGAAAGGACACTAAGTTGATCATAGTTTGGCTTCAAAGGATGATTTTCCTCAAGCCTTCTCTGACACAAGACACTGCTTTGAAACATACAAAGCTCTAATTAATTAATCTTAATTAATTGTAAACTAAATACAATTCTTTTTTGGTTTTGGTTTTTGCCCAATCTCCTGTGTTTCCCTGAAAAGAAGACCCAACCAGAAAATAAGCCCTAGCATGATTTTTTAAAGGATGCTCGTAATATAAGTCCTACACCCAAAATAAGCCCCAGTTAAGATGGGTGTGGTCAGCTTGACTTCGCTCACATGGTGGGGGGTGCCTGTAGGGGACCAGGAGTGGCAGAGCATGAACAGAAGTCCTGGCTGAAGATGCCCCCCCCCAGCCTTCCCGTTCGCTGGAATGTTTCCCGTGTCAGCTTTGGAAGCCATATTAGCACCGGGAGCTTCCATGCTGCCACCTTCTTGTGTGTGGCAAAGTAGAAAGGGGGATTTAGTAGACGGAATGTAATTAGACAAAATAACATTCTTCTTTTCGGTTAAGGTCAGGACAATCCTGCATCTGGAGAAGGAGTGGTTGGAGTGATGTCTTGAGATGGGACGGATGGTGATTGGAGCATGTGAAGGACTGATTAGTGAGGTGATGGTTTTGGGGGTTTTGATTTACTGAGGGAAAACCCAGAACTCTCAGATTTGGATTTTCCCAGATGTCCCAGTATATCTACTCTAATAAATGGAACTTTGAGAAAATGCTTGCCTCGGAGTTGTTAATACGAGTTATGGGTGCTGACATCCCATTTCAGGGAAACACAGTATTACTCCTCAGAATGAGATACTGGATGAAACTAGTAACCTTGTATATGATCGGTTTAATAGCATTAATATAATAAGATCTAATAATATTCCCAAATCACCTTATTAATTCAAATTAGAATAGAATAGAGCTGGAAGGGACCTTGGAGTTCTTCTAGTCCAGTCCCCTGTTCAAGCAGGAGACCCTATACCATCTCAGACAAGTGACTGCCAGTCTCTTCTTAAAAACCTCCAGTGATACAGCGCCCATGATTTCTGATGACAAGGTGTTCCACTGGTTAATTGTCCTCACTGTTAGGAAGTTTCTCCTTAATTCCAGGTTGCTTCTTTGATTAGTTTCCAACCATTATTTCTTGTCCCTGCCGTCTGGTGCTTTGGAGAATAATTTGATCCCCTCTTCTTTGTGGCAGCCCTTCAA